AACATCTTTAACTATATAACCTATTCCTTCATTCTGTGCTTTACTCCTTAATTAAAATATTGTCTTTTCACCATATCCTTCCCTTTAGCTGCGTTCTCTAGCACTAACCTGATTTTCTTCATGAGAAATAATTCACAGGCACTTCTTTAGAGATGGCTGTGTTTAGTAAGTTTTAAAGAGCATAGCGGAACAGCATTAACCCATTTAGCCATGACTATCTTTACATAAATGTTTTGAATTCACTTCCCTGCATTCTGAAGCACAGGCATAGGCCAGAAATAGGCATTCAGTTTCTCCTGGGAGAGCTGCTGCTCTTCCAGGAGAAATCTCACACATACAGGTGTTCAGGATTTTTCTCCAAGAATAAAAATGGTTTCTCCAGGAGAGAAACAACCTGGGAACAATCAGGATTGAATCATTCCCTGGAAAGTTTCTTCTGAGAGAATGAATGTCTGTACTTGTTCTCCTCTGAGCAAAACTATAGCACAGTCTTCCAGCATTCCAGGGTGCTTTGCTTCCTACCCTCCTATGGGAAATTGTCACTCATTGGACTTTACTGCTCTAGCTGAGCAAGGAGCGGAATATGGCTTCTTCAGAATGCCCCATGTTGAGCTGCAAGGAGAGACGGGCTGACCCTGAGCTATCTGGGTCAGTCAATCAGGGCTGCCCTGTACACTTCTACTAGTCTGTCTCCAGGAAGATGGAGGGAGCCTGCAGAGCATGCTGAGATATGTACCCAGGGGCTATGCAGCATCAGCACTGAAAACTCTCCCTTTTTCAGGGGCTCAGCAGTCAAATGTCTGTTCAGGCATCTAGGGATACATTTTTCTACCAGGAGAATTCTCCCACATCACTGGAATGTGTTTATGCAGCCATAGTTTGAAAATCACTCGTCCTTCAACCCCTTGGCCAGAATCACAATGCAGGAAAAAATGACTATTTTCCCATTGCCTGCCCCCTCTCCCCCCTGCCTTCCCCCTCCTCTCCCCACCCCCCCAACACCTTTCAAAAATAGTGTGTTCAGATCCCTTCTGGGCAGTTAGGTAACATGTTGAAAATATTATGCATATTTGAAAAGTTATATGACCTGGTTTGTATGCATATTTCAGTATTTATGTGCATACCAAAATAACCCTATTGATTATTAACAGCTTCTAAAATTTATTTATTCTCCTAAATGAGCAGTGTTTGATGACTGCAATCTATGGGAAAAAATGGTAGTGTAGAACTTTATGTCAGCATACCCCCCCCCTTTTCTTTTAACTACTCCCTACAGAGTTTGTTTTTCACTGCAACAAATAGAGCAAATATCCATAATGAAGTTTCCACTTACTCTCTGTTCTTTCAGATCCCAGGAACTTCTTCAATAGTTCAGAGAAAATGGAAGCCACTACAGTTTTCAGCACAGCCCCGGGGGCTGGGACAATCAACAAAGTCAAGGATTAGTGCTGTGACAGCTGAAATAAAACAGATACGAGCAAGGAGAAAAACAGCACGTATGCTGATGGTTGTTCTCTTTGTTTTTGCACTTTGCTATCTACCAATTAGTATCCTCAATGTCTTAAAAAGGTAAACTTATCCAGAAATAGTTAATACCTTAGGAAAACTTTTTGTCCAAAAGAAGTTTTCTGTGATACAATTTGATTCATTCAAGCTGACAGACACCCACATAATGCAAGAAAGAATCTGAATTAACCAATCAGCTGGCAGAACTTGAGCGAAAGACTGCAGAACCATTATTCATATTGACCTTTATTTATGCAAATTACCTCATTTATCTCCACTTCCATGCCCATTTCTTTTTGTGAATGCACTCAGGGGCTGTGTCCAGATGAGCGTGGATGTGCAGTATGTGGCATTGCAGACACATCTGCGGTGCCACACACTGCACCTTCAGGCAATCCCTGAACTGTTACTTTTCAGCGCGGGGTGGGGGGGCAGAGAGGGGGGAGGATGGGAAGGATCCCTGGGAGATCCGAAGGGTAAAAAAATCCCACACCCTAAAAAAGTGACACAGCCCGTGGTTGTGTCCCAGCTCTGCCACTGATTTGCTGTGGGATCTTTGGTGAATCATTACTAGGTGCCTGTATACAAATGCATGGAGCCTGGGAAACAAGCAGGAAGAATTGGACAGCCATGGAACTACTACATGATTGGAATAACAGAGACTTGGTTGGATAGCTTGCATGACTGGAAACTAGTTGCACAGCCATGGAACTATTACATGATTGGAATAACAGAGACTTGGTTGGATAACTTGCATGACTGGAAAACTGTCATAGATTGGTACAAACTATACAGGAAGGACAGGCAGGGGAAAAGAGGAGGAGGAGTCACACTTTATGTAAAAAAGCCACATTATTGCTCAGAGCTCCAGTATGAAACTGGAATAGGCCTTTTGAGAGTCTCTGGGTTAAGGTCAGAGGGAAAAAAAACAAGGGTGATGTCACGGTGGGGGTCTGCTATAGACCACCAGGCCAGGAGGAAGTGGTGGATGAGGCTTTCTTCAAGCAGCTAGTGAAAGTCACAAGCCCCGGTTCTCTTGCAGGACTTCCATCACCCTGACATCCACTGGGAGGGTAATACAGCAGTGTGCAGGCAATCCAGGAAGTTTTTACAGTGTCAGAGACAACTTCCTGGTGCAAGTGCTGGAGCAGCCAGCTAGGGGCCATGCTCTTGACCTGCTACTCAGAAACAGGGAAGAATTGGTGGGGAATGTAGTAGTGGACAGCAACTTGGGAAGCAGTGACCACAAGATGATTTAGTTCAGGACCCTGAGGAAAGGAAGGATGGAGAGCAGCAAAGTAAGGACCCTAGACTTTAGGAAAGTGGACTATGACTTGCTCAGGGAACTCATGGCCAGGACCCCTGAAAAGGCAGTCTTAGGGGAAGAGGAGCCCAGTAGAGCTGGCTGTACTTGAAAGAAGCCTTACTGAGAGTGCAGGAACAAACCATCCTGATGCACAGAGAAACTGGCAAAAGACCAGCTTGGCTTAGCAGGGAACTCTTTAGTAAACTAAATCACAAAAAGGAAGATTATAAGAAGTGGAAATTTGGACAAATAACTAGGGAAGAATATAAGAGCATTGCTCCAGTATACAGGGATGAAGTCAGGAAGGCCAAAGTACAATTGGAGTTGCAGCTAGCAAGGGATGTGAAGAGTAACAAGAAGGGTTTCTACAAGTATGTCAGAAGCAAGAGGAGGATCAGGGGAAGTGTGGGTTCCTTACTGAATGGCGGAGACAACCTAGTGACAGAGGATGCAGAGAATGCTGAAGCACTCAATGTCTATTTCACCTCAGTCTTCATAGGCAAAGTCAGCTCTCAAGCTACTGCATCTGGCAGCACAGTTTGGAGAGGAGGTGAGTAGCCCCCAGTGGTGAAACAACAGGTTAGGGACTATTTAGAAAAGCTGGACATGTACAAATCCATGGGGCCAGATGGGATGCACCAGAGGCTGCTGAGGAAGTTAGCATGATGTGACTGCAGAGCCACTGGCCATCATCTTTGAAAACTCATGGTGATCAGGAGAGGTCGCAGATGATTGGAAAAGGGCAAACATAGTGCCCATATTTAAGAAAGGGAAAAAGGAGGATCCAGGGAACTACAGACCAGTCAGCCTCACCTCAGCCCCTGAAAAAATCATGAAACATATCCTCAAGGAATCCATCTCAAAGCACTTGGAGAAGATGGTGATTAGGAACAGTCAGCATGGATTCACCAGGGGCAAGTCATGCCTGACCAACCTGATTGCCTTCTATGTTGAGATGACTGTCTCTGTGGATGCAGGGAGACCAGTGGATGTGGTGTACCTTGATTTTAGCAAGGCTTTTGACATGGTCTCCCACAACATTCTCACAGGCAAGCTAAAGAAGTACAGATTGGATGAATGGTAGATAGAAACTGTCTGGATCATCAGGCTCAGTGAGTAATAATCAATGGCTCGATGCCTGATTGGCAACCAGTATCAAGTGGAGTGGCCCAGGGGTCAGTCCTGGGGCAAGTTTTGTTCAACATCTTCATCAACAACCTGGAAGATGGCATAGAGTGCACCTTCAGGAAGTTTGCAGATGACACCAAGCTGTGGGGAGCAGTAGCTGCACTGGAGGGTAGGACTAAGATTCGAGTGGCCTAGACGAATTGGAGGACTGGGCCAAAAGAAATCCCATGAAGTTCAACAAGGACAAGTGCAAAGTCCTACACTTAGGTTAGAACAATCCCATGCACCAGTGCAGACTGGGGGCTTACTGACTGACTGACTGGCTGGGCAGCAGCTCTGCAAAAAAGACATAGGTTTTACAGTGGACAATAAACTGAATGTGAGCCAACAGTGTGCACTTGTTGCCAAGAAGGCTAATGGCATACTGGCCTGCATTGTTAGGTGTCTTGCCAGTAGGTCCAGGGAAGTGATTATTCCCCTCTACTTAGCACTGGTGAGGACCCATCTGGAGTATTGTGTTCAGTTTTGGGCCTCCCCACTACAGAAAGGATGTGGACAAATTGGAGAGAGTCCAGTGGAGGGTAACAAATATGGTGAGGGTGCTGGGAGACATGACTTATGAGGAGAGGCTGAGGGAACTGGGTTTATTCAGTCTAGGGAAGAGAAGACTGAGAAGAAATTTAATAAAAACCTGAAGAGGAATTCAAAAGAGGATGGAGCTAGACTGTTCTGAGTAATGGCAGATGACAGAACAAGGAGCAATGGTCTCAAGCTGCAGCAAGGGAAGTTTAGGTTAGATATTAGGAAGAATTTTCTCACTAGGAAGGTAGTGAAACACTGGAACAGGTTACCTAGAGAGGTGGTGGAATCTCCATCCTTGGAGATTTTTAAGACACAGCTGGACAAGGCTTTGGCTGGGATGATCTAGTTGGGGATGGCTCTGCTTTGAGCAAAAGGTTGGACTAGATGACCTCCTGAGGTCCCTTCCAATCCTAACTTTCTATAATTCTATGATTATCAGATCTCAGTTTTCCCTCCAACACCTTGACCATTTAGATTGTGAACTTTTGGGACAAAAACACACTTTTGCACTCTGTGGCCACATCTGGATGAACAGGGGTGTGCACTTATAGGGGCACAAATAATAGCTACACAAATCTGTGTCACTACTTTGTGTCGCAGTGCACACCTGTGCACATGCACTTTGCTGTGGGACATATTGTCTCACTGTGGGCACACTACCCATACCCAGGTCCTCCTGGGTCCTTGTGTGCTGCTGGGAGTTGGCCAGGGCACAGGGTGCTTCAGTGTGAAGCTAGCCAGCAACCAGCCCCTGCATTAAGGCACCCTGCACCCCAGCCAGCTGTGGAGCAGCATGTGGAGATGGGGGAGCAGGCAGTCCAGGTCTGTTTGCTCCCCTGTCTCCACATACCTTGGCATGAGGGCTCTGCAGTGGGATCTTAAAATTTAATTTTGGAAAAAGTATCCTAAAATAAAAACTCCCTTTTAAATTATATTTTTGCTTCCTGCAAAGAAATGGCTCGAATATTTTGGTTTTTATTAAGGAACAATTTAGAACTGGAGACAAAGTGTGTGTGTTGAGGGGGGAGGGGGGGATTGCTACTTTTGATCACACTGGATATCATTTGCTATATGTATGAGAAGCAGAAATAGGCCCCAAAATTTTGGTCTGGTGTTTCACATATTAAACAACTAGTTTATTTGCAAGGCTATAGATTTTCCCCAAAACAGGTAGCACACAAACCTTTATTGTTAATCAGAAGCAAAACATATACAGATTTTCAATGCCTCCAATATTGAAAAGGATGCCCAGAATGAATTTAACAGTCAATGAATCAGGTCTTTTTATGCTTATTTAATTAAAATAAGAGTAATCAGTGAGCCAGTAAAGTAATAGGCAACTCAAGGAACAATATAAAGAATCAAGAGTTTTGTCATGTTTATCAACCAGAATAGCCATAAAACATGGACGTGTTCTAGCCATACACATAATTTTGTGTTTACACTTATGTGTATGCACAACTCCCAATAGAAACAAAAGGAAGAAATTGGGGAAACTAAGGAGGGATGGCATTGTTCACTATCCTATAGTGACTCTGATTGAGAAGGACATGACCATAATTTTGTCATTGCTTGGGAGGTTTATATTAAAACAGACTGAATTATCTGGAACACATATAGTTTTCTGTTAAATGTTGAATGCCAGGTACCATTTCTAAATTTATAATTGTTCATATTGTCAGGGTGCAGTGTTTGGGAGGAAAGTATCACCCACAATCAGCATGAACATTTTTTGCATAATCCACAATGATTAAATGTGGTGCCCTTCTACAAAAGGGCAGGCTGTGGAGAAGAAATGGGATGTTTTCCAGGGTCACTCAAGTCTGGCTATTCTGAGCTGACAGAGCTATTCAGCTGGCATAATTCTAACAAACTTCCTTGACCAGAAGCTGGACAAAGATCCTATAACCTACAGACTGGTTTTGGGTAGAGTTTTTGCATTTTCTAGAGAAAGCTGGCTGTGTCGATCCAGGGATTTCTGGCAAATGAGTCTTTGAAATGGCATTCAAATAAAGTTTGAAATGATTTATATTCAGAAACTTATGCCTCACCTCTCAGATTTTTTCTTTTTTTTTCTCCTTTATTCTGCAGGGTTTTTGGCATGTTTAACCATGCTGATGACAGAGAGACGGTGTATGCCTGGTTTACATTCTCACACTGGCTCGTTTATGCAAACAGTGCAGCAAACCCTATTATTTATAATTTTCTCAGTGGTAAGTTTCTAGCTGATGCTAGGTTTTAAGGTTAAGGTTTAGTTTAAGTATAGCAAGTGGTAAAAATATGGTAGAAATCTAACCTGGTAATTAAGAACAGCACAACTTACCATAGGGCCTTAGGTCTAAATCATGATTTCAGTACCACTTTCAAGTATTCTGTGGGCTTTAAGTATCCTCATTCACTTTAGGGGAACAAATATTTGAGTAGGAGTGGCAGAATCTGACCATAAGGAAGGGTCAGAAGTATTGGGAAGCCCTGAGTACATGAAGAAAATTTCTGTTTAATTTAGTTATTTCTTCTTAGGCCTCAACTGGCAGGAATCTCAGTGCAATATATGGCTTTTTAGAAGGGATAGAAAACAATAAATATTTTTTTAAAGGTTTTGAAAAAGTAAGGAATTTCAATGAGCATTCCTAAATGCCATATTTACCAGTCTCTCTTTTATTACCTGACTTTATTATTAATATGAGATTGTTGCTAATAACAAATATGTATGCTATGGATCAAGGGTACTTGTACACGTGAGGGGGGTTTAGTTCCCCTAAACTTAAATGGTGGATTTTTAATTTGTGGGTTGTTAATTGTGACCCACCATTTCAATTTAGGGGCTTCCATCACTGTGTCAGAGCAGTGACGGCCTGCTGTAAGCTCACGCTGCCCCCTCCCCGCCTCCATCATGGGCAGCTCTAACCAGGAGACAAAAAAGCAGTGAGGGGCCTGATCCTTTTTTTTTTTTTTTTTTTTTTTTTTTTTATGGTCTGCCTGCCTCCTGCGCAGCCGGGGTGGAGGCAGCTGCCAGCAGCCCCTGGGCTCAGGGGCCCCCGGTCCTTCCCTTCACAGTGATGGCACCCCTCAGGTGGCATCCACCCACTAGCGGCCTGCCTGGGCAGCCCTGGGGGTCACCGGTGCCATGGAGGGAAGGTCCAGGGGCCCCCCACTTCTTTTCCCCCCCCCCGATGGAGCCTGCCTGCACATGAGCTGCTGATGGGTTGTGCAACCCTGGGGCTGTGGAGGGGCCTGGTGCTTCCCTCTATGGTTGTGGTGTCCCCCAGGGCCACCTGGGCAAGATGCTAGCTGGGTGGGTGCTGCCCCAGCTCGCAGGCAGCACCCAGCCCAATCCAATGGTGCAAGGGGCACTGGAATTCCAGGTGTGCTTGGGGAAGCTCAGGCTTGGCGGGCTTTCAGTGCCCTGTGCACTGGCTCCACCACCTTCCTGCTGCCTGGAACCACCCAGGAATGGGCTGTCTTGCTCCTGGGGCAGTGCAGGAAAGTGGTAGGAGGGTGGCTGGGGATGCTGGCGACTGGAGAAGGTGCCAAGATTGGTGCATGGGACACTGGAAGCCTGCTAACCCAAGCTTCCAAGAGCCTGCCTGGGTTTCTAGTGCCCTGTGTACCATCCCTGCCACCTTCTCTGGCCACTACACATGTACATGTGCACAATTTTTTTTTAATCCACAATAGGACAATTAGCCCTGATGAAACTAAAATACATCTGAGGTGACCTAAGTTGCCATACTCAAATTTTAACATGAAAAAGTAGACATATGCACACTGTGGTGTCATTATGTTAGATAGATGATGATTTCTCATTACTTTTTATCATGTGTACATGGCCCCACCATCACATATGCAAGTGCCCCAAGTGAACAAAATTCAGAAGTGTGGTTCAGATAGACCTTAAGTAAACTTTTGGGTGTTCATCAACATGTCAATGTCTGCAAAACTGGCTTAGAAACTTTTTTTATGCTATGAAATAAAGAGCATTTAGAAGTGGGCAAACTCTTATTTACAAACATTTGTTTCTTCTTTCAGCTGAAATGTATTAGTCTGAAAGCCATATTAAAAAAGGCAAAACTATATCTAAAAATATTAAAAGAAAAAGTTAACCATATTATTTTGAATGCATTCTGAAGTTAAATTAAGACCTTACGTTAAATCTAGGGCTTCCTTACTTTATCCGAATGGGTTCACCAGATTCTAATCATCACCATAAGAAGTGGCTCAGATCTCTTTATCTAGGCATTTAGTTATATTGTAACATCACTTTGGTTTCTGGGTTCCCCAAATATTCATTATGCAACCTGTTTGGGATGTACATTTTAGGTATCCTCTTTTTACTGATGATGAAACTGAGAGATGAATAAATTGAGGGTATGATCACACAAATATAATGATTCCCTTCATAAAATGATAAAGCTCCAAATTTACTAGTGTGTAATTTTAGTTTATGACAGTTATGTAGTTTTAGTTTTGGTTTATTTAACATGGTTGTCTGCTTTAGTAAGGGACTGGACTTCATAATCATGAGCTCCATATAGTTCTGTGTTTTTGTTTCAGTTTCATCACTGTAAATCAAGTCTCAACTGAAATGCAGGAATTTATATTGCCATGAAACTAGTGTGAGATCAAAATCTGGCCCTGAATAACTTGTCTAAATGCCAGATATACTGATTTTTCTCCCCCAACCCTGCTCCTTTATTTCTATATCTTTCCTTCCATAAAGCATTGCTGCAACAATTTTAATAGGATATAAGATTTTTAAGGAACATAAAAAAAGATTTTTAGAACATTTGATTTAATATATTGAAGTTCATGTGCTTCTGATATTTTAAATTCCCATTTTCTTTATAAATTGTTCAGGATAAAATATAAGTTACTTATGTTCTCCCATTTCACATGTCAGATAATAATACAAACATTTCAAGACATAACATTTCACTTAAATAAATTAATTGTTTGTCAGTTATCCAACAAACCACCTAGGAGAGAGCGACAGGAACTGTTCTACTCTGCAGCATAAAAATAATAGGATTTATGCTGCGCTTAGTATAAAACCTGATAAAAAGTGTAATTTTGCAGCTGTTTCCTAAACTTGTTAAACTGCTTTTTTTCCCCATGATATAAAAAGAGTACTTGACTGTTTTGGATATGTTTTTGCACTAATTAACCACTCATCTTCCATGTTCATGGAAGATAGATAAAAGCACAATGTATTTGGATAATGTTTTCATGCCTGCTTTTTTAATCAACAGGGAAATTTAGAGAAGAATTTAAAGCAGCATTTTCTTGTTGCTTCTGTGGCATTCATCATCACCAGGATGAGCGTCTCACCAGAGGGCGTGCAAGCACAGAAAGCCGAAAATCCTTGACCACGCAGATTAGCAATTTTGATAACATTTCAAAACTTTCAGAACACGTTGTACTGACTAATATAAACACAATTCCAGCAAATGGTACTGGACCTATTCACCACTGGTAGTATACTTATCCTGATGTCTTTTAATGCCTTTGTAAATTAAAATTGAGTCATGCCTCTAACAGTCTTTTTACCCGTGTCCAGAAGGCTACAGGGCAAAAAGGAGTTTAGGATTGCAAACTAGCAGTAAGCAAAATTGTTACATAAGCTGTTTTATAAATTAAATTACAACTTAAAAAAAACCCCCAAAACCCTTTAGAAACATAATTTACTTTGCTTTCAACATGTCTCAGATATGTGGGGAGAGAGTATTAATTTTTTGCTTTACTATGTATATTGGGTCCCTACTTGCTTTGGTTTCCAAATAAACAACAGGTATCATGAAATGTGTAAAATTGGAATGTTTTTGCAATACGCATATATTCAACTTGTATCTGATTCTCTAAATATGCCAAGATAGAGATGACTTTTTAAGAAGAGATATGTTAACTAAGCTCTTTTTTTTAAAAATGGAAAGTAAAAAATAATTTCTATTTCCCAACTCTGGAGATTATCAGAATGGCACATGCTGGATTAGTATTGCATTCCCCCCAATTCCTTCAGTTAGTGGAAACAGCTGTATAATTTACTGTTTGATGTTCCTCTTCCCTTTATATCCCATTAGAGCTCTCCTAGGGTAACAGAGTCCAGAGTCTGTGTGGTGGGATTTTTGCTTCACAAATATCATAATCCTATTAGCAAACATTACACTTTCTTGATAGTGTTGGAACACTATAGTATAAATTTTATAGCAAAGGCCATATCTAGGCCTCATGTGACTTTGGTTTAGTTCACTAAAGGGCCTTTTCACTGCAGAAAAGCAGCGTTCCAGTTGGGAATCACACATACAGATTAATAGGGGTGTGCAAAGTGGGCACTATTTGATCCGGAATGGGATTCGGCCCAATTCGGGGGACAGTGATTCAATTCGTTGATTTGGATCACTGTCCTGATTCAATTCATCTGAATCTGAAGATTCAATTCTGATTTGGAGAATCAGTAATTCGACCATAGACACAGCTTTATATGTTTTTTCTACGTACCTCGAGGTACCAGGCACGGCTCGTGAACACTGAGATGGTGGGGAGAATAGAGCATCCCACAGAAGCATGGGGAGGGTCTGCTGCCCAGTGCATGGGGGACCCCCCTGTGCCCCTCTGGCTCAGTGATCAGCCATGGGGGGACCCCAGGTGCATCCCCAGACCTAGGAGGCACCAATCACTGAGCTGGGGGGGGAAGGTGGGGAGGCTCCCCTGTGCACTCAGCAGCAGACACAGAAGTGGACCTGAAGTTCTTCTGGTCCACTTCTAGGTCCAGCACCAAGCACATGGAGGAACCCCCCATGCTTCCGTGGGATGCCCCATCTGCCCCACCATCTCAATGTTCACAAGCCATGCCTGGTACCTCGAGGTATGTAGAAAAAACATATAAAGCTGTGTCTATGGCTGAATCATCAAATCTTACCAAATTAATTTGGAGGCTTCTGATTCAATTTGGAGAGATTAATTGGTCTCCTGATTCTATTCAGATTTGAAGATTCGGACGCTGAATCTCCTCTGAATCGAATCAGCAACCAAAGCTTCACACACCCCTAGATTAATATCTGCTTCTTGTACCTACCCACACATATATGCCTCTAAACTATTAGAGCTAGTATCTAAAATTCTTCTAGAAGGCTGGACCCATACATTAGCTTAATTCCATTTTGTGTTATTTACTATAGCAGATATCCTCCAGGAATGGAGGAGTAAAGATGATCCCATATTTAACAATAAAACTAAGCTGCAGCAGCATTGAAAATGGGTATAGTTGCAGGCACAGGTCAGGGTGAGCTATGTATAGTTTGCTCTGTTTAACTGAATAATCTTGGGACCATAAAGAGGCTATGTGCTTACCCAGAGTATCCACTTATCCAAGCCAAATATAAGCAAGCAATACTTGTTAAGTACATAACATTGTTGTTGTTGTGGCTCCACTTGTGCTTCATTTTTACGGTTTCTAGCAGTTAATTTGGGGGCACTAATAGAGGCCATGAAAATGAAGGAGCTAGTCTGTTTCTGTCATTCCTGTAATATTATCAGCCCTGAAACTGACTAGATCCCTTCATTTTCAGAGCCTGTATTAGTCACTGTAGGGCAGCTATTAGAAGCCTTGATAGCAAAATCAATCATGAAACTGACTAGCTGTTGTCATTCTCAAAGTTTCTAAAAGCAGCCCTTAGATGTCTGCTTTCCTTTCAACATTTCTGGTACAGTTAAGAAGAGTGTGGTTGGTAACCAAGTGGACAATTACTGTTACAGTTAGTATGCAGTTAATAATTAAGTTTCAAAGTAAACAGGGAAGCTGAGAGATGCTATGTACTGAAGTAGTTTATGCACTTAACTGATAGCAGATAATCAGAGTCTGTTGCAATGTAAGTGATAGGCAACAAATTGGGATTGGCAACAGTTTGTGTAGTTAAATTAATTATGTACCTATGCAGTATGCCTATCAGCATTAGCCATCTCCCAACCACTATGTAACATAGACAGTCATGATAAAGCCTTTGTATATCTGTCTACCTTACATTTTCCACACCTAAGTAGGACTAATCAACAAGAAGGGTGGAAATGATTCAGAACTGGTCTTCTAGATAGAAAAATCTTTTATTCTATTTGAACATTTTGTTCAATGTTGATATAGAATAATGTATTTGTTTCACTTGACAAAGTTTGTTTAATTTGTTTTTCCCATCTTCTCACACAAAAAATTCTCTGTTCAGAGGTTGACTTCAATGAGAAGATATCCTGGCTGGGGACCAGACTAGTAAGCCAGTCAACCTCCGTTGCTGGAAACACTGCTCCTGACTACATTCATTATTTTCATTATTCTCACCTCCTTTGCCTATCCCTGATCTGCATGCAATTCCTAAGAATTAGTAGTGTTTTGAGCACATTATCAAATCTTGTTAAGGAACAAGCCAACTTTTCAGCTGAATATTAAATAAGCAGGGTTTGGCACTTAGACCTGAGAGAGTAGCTGGCTTGAGAAATTCTATTTTACCCTTGTTTAATCAAGACATCTGAGCATCATATGTTCCCAGACAGAATATGATACTTTTAAAGATGAATTTAGGATTCCCAATCAATAGCCAATACCTGTAATATTTATCATTAATGCAAGAACATTTTATGAATCAGACTTTCCCATAGACTTTGGGAAGAGGTTGCCTAAAACATTGATAGAAGCAGTTTTAGGCGGTCATGTTACTAAAGTTTTCATTAGCTGTGTTCTGTCCAAATAGGACCCCAGCCTCTTGGTGAACCAAGAGCCATAAAATAACCTTAAAATAACCTTCACGAGCCATAAAATAACCTTAAAATATATATTATATTTTACAGGTGCCACGGCCATATACAGCCCATTGAAGTCAGTGGAACTGCACCTGCACATACCAGGGATGAACATAACTACAAGTTTAGATGAATCAGAGAAAGTTTCTGTGGAAGATACTGGGACAACTGAGAATACAGAGTGGTCCAGATATACCCCTGTGGCTACTAAGCTGACATCCATGGAGTTACATCAAGGATGAATTTGGGCCCATACATTAAAGGCTACTTGAGAATACCAATGTCTTTATACACCATGTGATAGATCACAACAATTAGACAAAGGGATTCCTCCAAAATGACTGCCTCTTCAATTTCGTCTCAATCTTATGGAAACCTACTTACCTCATAATGTGCTAAGAACATGCATCTTTGCAAGTCTTTTTAAAAGAAAGCATTGTATCATGCTTTGTAAATACTGTAGATATTTATTTTTATATATATTTCAGATGCCATGTAACATTCTAAAATGTATCACATAAAGAGCTATGAGTATTTGAAGGCAGAGTTAGAAAACCGATTAGTTTACATCCTGAAGCTATTCATGATGGATTTAATTGTGAGACACAGTTGCTCTTCTTACGCACCAATGAAATTTTACACTTCAACAACTATAGTATACTTTTTACCACATTTTCTGCAGTTTCTCCTGAGATTGTTATTGTGGTATTCACAGCTACTCATTCCAACATAACCACATCCTTAGTCATGGAATATTTGTTTTCTCTATGTAATTCTAAACTGAGAATTTAGAGCCATTTTCCCTTAAACTTGGGTGCCTAAAGTTAAGCATCTAAAAAAAACCAATCTGATGATAAAAGGTGCTGAGAATCTGAAAATACTGCTCAAATCAATAGGAACTGTAAGGGATTGGCCATTGAAATTTAGACTGCTTTAAGACTGGTGCCTAACTTTAGCAATCAGTGTCTAAAAATGTTAGTCTCAATCAGGTCCCCTGTGGTCTTACTGTGAAGTTGAAAACACCAATTTGTCTCGTTTGTTTTTAAGGTTTGGTATTTCAGCTACTGGTTAGGACTTAGATCTTAGTAGTTAATAGATTTTACTGGAAAATTCTTTTTTATCCATGGAAAAAATTGAGTTTTCAGCAAATATAAAAAAATCAAAATATCTCTATTGAGAAACATTGATGAGGTATCTCACATGAGCTACAGCTTACGTGGCTCAAACTCCCCTTACCTCTACTTGAAGCAGTCTGGTCAGAGGTGTCCCATGTTGCACTGTGTTCCTTCTTCCTGATAAGGACAGGTGGTGCATTTTAGGAGGCTTAGCACAGCTGGACCATAGATAAGACATGACATAGGGAGCACCCAAACTGCACCTTGTGTAAGACACTGTGACAGGATATTAGAATCAAAATACATGAAGAGCAACATTTTGGGGAAAATTAGATCTTTATGTTTTAATGAAAAATGAGTATGTAACAAACAAAACAGATATTTTTCACACACAGAATATTTGTTGAAGACCCAATTTTCCATAAAAATGTATTTGATGGAAATTTTTTATTAGTCCTGGTAATTATTTTTTCTAGGTTTTACTGTGACCAGAGACACTTATAAACTGTTTTTCCTCCCTCCATTTATCTCTCTCTGTATATCTAAGTATTTATAAAGTGCCTAATTACTCCTCTCATTTAACTCAGTGTTATACTTGTATAACTATAGAGACTTTGTTGAAATTACTCCTGATTTACACTGCTGTGAAGTGAGAGGAAAATCACTCCTCATCCTGTTTGTATATAAAGTTTTTTTAAAGTAAAAGAAAAATAAATATATGAGAAAATAGTTAAAATAAATGCATAAAAACCTTTAAGTTCTCAACATGTATAAGTTTAAATTCCCAAACTCAGTTGAAATACAGTTTTTTTTCAGCCAATGATTTTATTGCTGCCCGCTTCAAGAAGAAAAGTCCTGACTGTGGGATGTGCAAATTTGAGAGGGGAGAAGAGGTCTGGTTTTTTTGCACAGGGAATGTTGCAGCTGAATTTCTAGTCTAATACCCACCAAAAAATTGTTGGTCATTATACAGAACCATGTAAGTGGAAAAGAAGAGAAGTGTGGGTGATACATCAAGCATTTACTAACCCATAAGAAAGTTGTGGATAGTCTAAGAAGATATACCAGCCTTGTGAAGGAACTGCTGTGGCTCCTAAAAGTATAATTAAAAAAAACGAAAAAGGGGGTAGAGAATATTGTTATCTTGAGTTTGCTACCCTAAGTTGACAGCAACTCACATTAAAGATTGTGGGAGGAGCAGGACTGAACCTTAGTTGCCAAACCAAATTAAAACTTGAGTTGTCTTGTTTCCTCTGGTCTTCTAAGGATTTAGCCAAGATGTATAAAGAATACATCTTAATGTTCTCACCCAGTCAGGCAAAAGGTTGCATGTTCTGAAATCACTGACATTTCCTCACTGCTTTAACCTTAAAAATAGATTTTTGTGTGAAAATCAGAAGTAAAAGATGAGGCCTGTTCAGTGATCTGATAAATATAACTTCATTCTAGCAGGAATTTCCACTTAAATATTACATCTCTGGGAGAGGTATTAAAAGACAGAATTTCTTAAATAAATAAAGCACTGGAACAAGCTATGCAGAGAGGTTGTGGAATCTCCATCCATAGAAATTTTTAAGACTGGGGTAGACAAAGCCTTGGCTGGAATGAGACAGTTAGTCATGGTCCTGTTTTGTGCAAGGGGTTGGATTTGATGACCTCCTCAGGTCTCTTTCAACCCTCATTTTCTATGATTCTATGACAGGGTAGGCAAAGTCTAGCCCACAGAACAGATCAGGCCCATGGTAGACTCTATTTCTGAGCAGCCCCTGTGGCAGCAGTGCCTTCTGGCTGCCACTGCTGGACCCAGTGCCCAGGCACCCCAGCCCATCCACCCCGTATCCACTGCTGGGGGTGGTACTCATGCGGGCAGGACATGTGGCCAGGCAGCAAGGATGGGGCTGCAGCTGGGAGCAAGATGGGCCCCTCCCCCCTCCTCCAGCCCCCCCTGACCCCTTACTTACCAGCACCAGAGCCCTGGTGCTGAAACATGCAGCCTGGCCAGCAGCGTGATTCAGCACCAGGGCGAGTGGCCAACCATAGAGATGCTCTGGCAGCCAGAGCATCTCCGTGGAAGACCCAGCCTCTGGTTGCCTCAGGGACTGCTTCACTTTTTTAAACTTCCATTTTCTTAGACCCCTGGGCAGGGGTCTAATTTTCTCCCCACGTAGCAATTTTGCAGTGCGGGGAACATTTTTTCGTTCCTGCATGTGCCTGTTGCCCTGCCAACTCCTTTGAGGCAGGGCAAAAGGCATGTGTGTGCTTATGTGGATGCGCCCATAGAGTGCAGCTGGGTAGCAGTACCTCATCCTCTCTCCACTGTTGCTTCAGGTGGGATCCAGCAGCACTTGGAGAGAGAGAGAGAGATCCATAGGTGATCTGCACCTTTATTCCCCATTTTTACCAGAACCTTTAAATTGTGACCCCTCACTATCAAAACTTTCAAATCACCTAAGCTCTGGAGCCTGCTGCTCTTTGTTCTTCCCCTCTTCTGCATCCCGTCTCCTGAATTCAGTAGCAGGGAAAAGGAAGGGTCAAGTGGCAATGGCCCCTGGGCTCTGTGAAAGCAGGGGCTGAGCAACCCTGATGCTGCCATTCATCACATCCATTTGACTACTGTTGATTTCAGGAGAGGTGGATGGGGGAGGTGAAGAGCAAACAGCAGCAAGCTCCAGAGCTGCTTGAAAGCAGGGACTTGGGGTAGACCAGTGTTGAGTTCATAGAATTCACAGCACAGACAGAGCTCCCAGCAGGAGATCCAGTGACATGCTGGTATGCTCTGAGAGCTCACTGCACAAGCATCACAGAGCCAAAACCCTACTGGAATTCATTCCTGTGTCCAGCCAGTGTCTTCTACGAGAAGAGTGTGTAAGATAAGAAGAGGGCAGGTGAAATAAATAATGATTCTTTTATTTTGGGTGTCACCATATGTTTGGGAAATAACAAATAAAGTACCTATATTTATTAAAGGAATATTTAATTCTATTCTATTCTTCTTTTTAAATTGTAGATAGATAGCTAGATAGATATAGTTTCACAGTTTCATAGTAGTTTGGGGTCAGAAGGGACCTGAACATATCATCTAATCTGATTCCCCACCACTGGCAGGAGCACACGCTGGGATCACACGACCCCAGACAGGTGTTCGTCCAACTTCTTTTTGAATTTACCCAAGGTAGGAGTGAGGACCACTTCCCTAGGAAGTTGGTTCCAGATTCTAGCCTCCCTAACAGTGAAATAGTGCCTCCTAATCTTTAACCTGAACCTATTCACCAGCAGCTTCTGGGCATTGTTCCTCGTCACCCCAGGCGCTGCTGGGGGGAATAGGGCCCTTCCTATTTACTGCTGATCTCCCCTAACAAGTTTGTAGGCAGCCACCAAATCCCCCCTCAGCCTCTGCTTGTTGAGGCTGTACAGGTTCAGGTCCCTCAGCCTCTCCTCATAGGGCCTGCTCTGTTGCCCTCCAACCAAGCGGGTAGCCTTCCTCTGAACCCTCTCGAGGCAGGCCACATCCTTCTTAAAGTGTGGTGCCTAGACCTGGACGCAGTACTCCAACTGTGGCCTGACCAATGTCATGTAGAGGGGGAGTATCACCTCTCTGGACTGGATTGAGATGTATCTTTGGATGCACGACAAAGTGCGGTTGGCTTTGCTGGCTGCGGTCTTGCATTGGCAGCTCATGTTCATCTTGGAGTCAATAATGATTCCAAGATCCCTTCCCGCCTCTGTGCTCACAAGGGGGGAGCTCCCCAGCTTGTATGTATGCTGTGGATTCCTTCTCCCCAGGTGCAGCACCCTGCATTTATCTACATTGAACCCCATCCTATTACCATCCGCCTACTTCTGTAGTCTGTCTAAATCTAATTGCAGCCTCTCTTACTATTCACATCCCGCCAGGTCGAGTACGACCCGTCCACCACTACTCTCTGGGTGCACCCCATCAGCCAATTTTTGACTCATCCAACTGTTTAAGCATCAATGCCACAGTTGCTCAATTTATTAATGAGAATGGGGTGAGAGAGTGTCAAAGACCTTCTTAAAGTCCAGAAAGACTATGTCCACAGCAACACCATCATCCAGAAATTTAGTTACCTGGCCATAAAAGGCCATCAGGTTTGTCTGGCAGGACCTGCCTTTGATGAACCCATG